TATTAATTGGGGTAGGGGGGGGTGTCATACTGTTCTAAAGTGAGGGGGTTATTACTAAGAAGGCCATCCTCTAGGTCTCCTAACTTTTCAGGTGACACAGAGCTCTCTCCCGGCTTGTGTGTATTGGCTGGCAAATTTCACCGGAAGTTGATGATCCTGGAAGTACCAAGACAATTATTTATGGCTGCGTTCCTGCCAGAAGACAATTTTAAAAAATATGAATAAGTAGTTTTAGGATATTCTGGGTTGATAAATCTTTTCTCAGGTTGCAGTAATGGAGTACTTTTGAATATATTACTGCATCAGGAAGATGTGTAAGCATCTTTAACTCCATCTGGCCAGATGCCTTACTAGTTATATGGGAACAGCAACCATTAAAATGCTTAAAACATCTCTTAAAAATGAACATAACACTCAATAGAAGGCTAATCTAGAAATGGGATGAAAAAAATGGGAGATTTAGCTAACTATTGGAGATGTCATATTCAAAATGGAACAGTTCAGATGATACAGTCATGTGCCATAATGACGCTTTCAAATAGAAGTAATTTCACTCAGATTCACTAGTACTTGATACACTTTTTTTTTTGAGTTATATATCAATGGTTTGGAAATTAACAGTGATGAGAGCCTGTGTGGTGTAATACTTAAAGAGTTGGACTAGGAATGGGGAAACCCAGGTTCAAGTCCATAGTCAGTGATGGAGGCTGGTGAATTTCAGGCCTGGTCATTTTCTCTTAGCTCATCTTAACCTCAGAGGGTTGTTTTTATGGGAAAAAATGGAAGAGGGAATGGTGTGTCTATGTACAACTTATTGAGCTTCAGCTTCAAGATATAAGCCTGGATATAAAACTAACAAATAAAATGACAACAGAAGCGGCTGTTGCATGTTTTTATGGCTGTAAAGGATTAAAGACATCTTTCTCAATCATTTATATAAAGGTCTGAAGATCTTATTTCACCTTCTATATTAATTGATGAAACTCCCATTGGGGAATAATTGGACATTTGGATAGCAGATACTGGTTTATATGTTTAGTGTCCCATTTTTCCCATGGTTAAGTGAACTAATTTAAACGTTACTAGTTTAATTTTATAACATGCCATGAAATACAGAATTAGTTTTTTGCTTAGTATATACAGTATATGATTTTCATCTTTCCAGAAATCAAAATAATTTTAAAAATTGCTGACTTGTACAAATTGTGGTGGTTTGTTTTGTCTAGCGTTAGCAGAATGAATTAGATGAAAGCAAAGCGAAGAAGCATGGTCCAAAACGGAGGCAAGAGGCTTTGTCTGATATAGAAGGTTGTTTTTAATTTGTTCTACAACAGGTTCTATTTTGTCTTAGGGAATAAAATGCACTGCCTGCACTATTAAAATCAAGCCCTGCCTTGAACCAAAATACATCATAATTCCTACTCCTATAAGAATCTCTGCAGGCCATGCTGTCTAAGGTGAGGTGGACAATAACAAAAAATAGAGGCTCTTTAATGGAGATGTTCTATTTGTGGAACATTTACTCATGTCAAATTACATGTTTTTGTCCTAAATAGTTATCGTTTATGTAACTAACATTTAATTTTTAATCTTTCAAAGAAGAATAAAAGAGATGGCACTAAACAGGCTGTTGCTATGGTGGTTTAGCTAGTTTTCTATTAATTTTGTTAGTTTCCTCGTCTTATTTTTGTAAACTTCCCTGAGAAGTAGCTAAATTAAAGTCTGTCAAATGGTACAAACAAAAGTATGCATTGCATCTTTGCCTTCTGCGCCGTACACAAATACGCTAATCCCCAGAAGTTACAGTCTCAAGTACAGTGGGGCAAAAAAGTATTTAGTCAGCCACCAATTGTGCAAGTTCTCCCACTTAAAAAGATGAGAGAGGCCTGTAATTTTCATCATAGGTATACCTCAACTATGAGAGACAAAATGGGGGAAAAAATCCAGAGTATTTAGTCAGGCACCAATTGTGCAAGTTCTCCCACTTAAAAAGATGAGAGAGGCCTGTAATTTTCATCATAGGTATACCTCAACTATGAGAGACAAAATGGGGGAAAAAATCCAGAAAATCACATTGTCTGATTTTTAAAGAATTTATTTGCAAATCATGGTGGAAAATAAGTATTTGGTCAATATCAAAAGTTCATCTCAATACTTTGTTATATATCCTTTGTTGGCAATGACAGAGGTCAAGTATTTAGTCAGGCACCAATTGTGCAAGTTCTCCCACTTAAAAAGATGAGAGAGGCCTGTAATTTTCATCATAGGTATACCTCAACTATGAGAGACAAAATGGGGGAAAAAATCCAGAAAATCACATTGTCTGATTTTTAAAGAATTTATTTGCAAATCATGGTGGAAAATAAGTATTTGGTCAATATCAAAAGTTCATCTCAATACTTTGTTATATATCCTTTGTTGGCAATGACAGAGGTCAAGTATTTAGTCAGGCACCAATTGTGCAAGTTCTCCCACTTAAAAAGATGAGAGAGGCCTGTAATTTTCATCATAGGTATACCTCAACTATGAGAGACAAAATGGGGGAAAAAATCCAGAAAATCACATTGTCTGATTTTTAAAGAATTTATTTGCAAATCATGGTGGAAAATAAGTATTTGGTCAATATCAAAAGTTCATCTCAATACTTTGTTATATATCCTTTGTTGGCAATGACAGAGGTCAAGTATTTAGTCAGGCACCAATTGTGCAAGTTCTCCCACTTAAAAAGATGAGAGAGGCCTGTAATTTTCATCATAGGTATACCTCAACTATGAGAGACAAAATGGGGGAAAAAATCCAGAAAATCACATTGTCTGATTTTTAAAGAATTTATTTGCAAATCATGGTGGAAAATAAGTATTTGGTCAATATCAAAAGTTCATCTCAATACTTTGTTATATATCCTTTGTTGGCAATGACAGAGGTCAATAGTTGAGGTATACCTATGATGAAAATTACAGGCCTCTCTCATCTTTTTAAGTGGGAGAACTTGCACAATTGGTGCCTGACTAAATACTTTTTTGCCCCACTGTAAATCTTAGATTCGCTCTACACTCCTGTTTCTAATGCAGTCTGTTGCTATCAATGAAGTGCCTCCTTTTATGATTCTATCTTAGCATGAAAGCAGAAGCTGCAAGAAGCATTGTCAGACCTCTGATGTACAATAGCACTCTTTGCTGTGTAGAATTAGGAAAACGTTTATTAGTGCCTGTACTAATCATGTTTTGCACTGCATATGTCTATTTCAGTGAGGAAGGTTGTGCAATCTATCAAATCCAAAAGTTCTTGGAACATTATATATTCCCTTAAAAGAAGCACTGGCAGTAAATTCAGAGCTGCTCAGCATATTTGAATTGCTAAAGAATCCTGATAGAAATGAGGCGGCAGAAGTCCAGTCTTGGTTCTCCATATGATTGTGCTTCCAATCACCAAGAATTTATGGTTATTCAACAAGCAGGCAGTTCTCTGCCAAACAATCATGCAATGTAAGAGTCTGCTGTGGCCACTTAACTAAGTTCAGGAGCCTCATAAACATGGGCAGTAACTCTCCTCCAGTGTTGTTCCATAGCAAGTGGTATTTCAGGTATGGTTTCAGGTAGAAAACAGCTATTGAGATTAATAGCTACTGAGAGATTAACTTCTTGATCCTCAATGAATTTGTCTGGTACTCTTTTAAAAGTCTAAATTACTGATAGTCATCTTTGTTGTTTTTG